GGGCGCACTCGGTCGTTTGGGGACCCTCCACACTGGGTCTTGGGTATTTCTTATCTGAATGGGGGGGGGGGGGCACCAAGCTCTAATGGGGGCTTCTCTGATAACTTGCTCAGGCACATTCGATCGTTCGGAGGCTCTCTACATTGGGTCTTGGGCACGTCCTATTTGAATGGGGGCCTTACGCACTCGTCTTGGGCCCCCTCTGTTCGCCCTCTTGGCCACACTGGACTGATTGGGGTACCCTGCACATTAGGTCTTGGTGTTTGAATGTAATGCCCCGCGCTCCTATCAGGGTCATCTGATAACCTGTCAGGGTACACTCCATCCTTCGGGAGCCCTCCGCACTGGGTTCGGGTACCCCTTATCTGAATGAATCACGTTAAGCTCTCGTCGGGGCCCCTTCTGTTAAGATGTTAGGGTCCATGGGATTGTTCGGTCGTTATTTGAAATGATTTTATTTGAAATATTTTAAAATGGTTGTTACTTGAACTTGTTATTTGGAATGAGGGCCCACCCACATTGGTGCTGGGTACTTCCTATCTGAATGGAGGAACCCTACGCAATTGTCGGAGACCCATCTGTTCGCTTCCCCGGCCATACTTGACTGTTCGGGGGCCCTGTGTATTGGGCCTTGGTGTTCAAATTTAGGGTCCTACACTCCTGTCGGGGCCATCGGTAATCTGCTCGGGTATACTCCATCTTTCGGGGACCTTCCGCACTGGGTTTTGGGTACTCGTCATTTGAATGGAGGGCCCTATGTTCTTGTCAGGTCCCTTCAGCTAAGCTGCTCAAGCACATTCCATCATTCAGAGGCCATTTACATAAGGTCTTGGATGCTTCCCATTTGAATGGAGGGCCTACGTTCTTAACCGGGGCTCTATATGTCAGCCCGCTATGGCACACACAATCATTCGGGGGCCCTCTACATTGTGTCTTGGGTACTTCCTATTTGAATGGAGGGCCCTATGCTCCTGACGGGAGCCCTACATGTTAACCTGCTCGGGCACGCGCGATCGTTCAGAGCCCCACATATTGTGTCGTGAGTATTTCTTACTTGAATGAATAACGCCATGTTCTTGGCGGGCCCCATCTGTTTAGCTGCTCGGGCCGTCGCTCGGACAAAACTGGACGTCTTTGGGCCTACACACAACCAAGAACAATTGTTAGCAAAAGTAAAGGGTCCATAAACAGACATAGTTAATTCTTCGCTGATTGAGAAGGTGATGCTTGTGGGAATTTTCGGGGCTCATTACGCTGGCCAGAAGCATTACGCTGTTCGTTGCCCTGGCCCTACATGTTCACTTCCCAGGTCAACTGATCGCTAAGGAGCTTTCTACGTCACCCCTGATCTCTTTGCGTCTTCTCGTAGGGCCCAACGCTGCTGTTGGGACACTATCTGCTTTCGTGCCTAAGCACTCTTGATCAATTGTGTTTTCCCCACGGATTCTTTCCATTCGCCCGAAAGGCTCTATAGGTTTTTCCGTGGCCCCAATATTCCAGGGTACACTCAGTTCCTGACGGGACCTTCATATTAGTCTCGCGTTCCTACCGCTTGCTCGGAGGGCATCGTGCCGTTGCTGGAGCTGTTAAAAGGTAAGGCACCGATACACTCGATATTCAGGAGCCCTCTACTTTGATCGAGGGCTCTTTCCCTTTGATCGTATTTTCGGAGGACTCTTCACCCCCCATTGAGGCTCTTTCTGTCAACCTGCCTGTGCACTCTTGATCGCACAGGGGTATATTAATTCACCGTCTTGGATAATTTCCCTTTGCTTAGAGGGCACTGTGCTCTGACCGGGGGCTAACATGTCAGCCTTCTGGGGCACTGACGATCGTTTGGGGGCCCACGACGTTGATACTGGGTTCTTTTTGCTTGTTCTAAGGGCCTTATATTTGTTGACGGGAGCCACTTTTTTGACCTCCTGCGGCACTCATAATTGCTCAGGTTCAGCCTTGGCGTCTTCGCCTCAGAGCAGCAGTCGAATATGCGCCAATGGATTTTTACGCGCAGTTGTCGAACGTAATCTTACGTGACGCCGACGTTGTATGTGTCATATCCATTGGCTGTTGAGTGTGTGACATTCAGTATGCTAGTGCATCACGTTCTTAACATATTTTGAATGTCAGGATATTGTGAACCCCTTTATAACAAATGAACGATTCTGCATAACTCATCCGCCATCAGCTGATAACATCGTTCAGGCGGCTAGCCGTGAATAAGCTAAGCACCTAGTCCATGCTTGGTTTTGATGGTCGTTAGCAGCCAACTCGAGTTTATTTTGCCTGTTGTTCCGAAACGCTTAGGCTCAAAATCACAGGACTTATATATATATATATATATATATATATATATATATATATATATATATATGTATATGGGATGGGTGTGGGGGTGGGGGTGTGGGAGGTGGGTGGGTGTCGGTGAGGGTGCGTGTGGGTGTGGATGTGTGTGGGTGTGGATGTGTGGGTGGGTGGATGCGTGTGTGTGTGTGTGTGTGTGTGTGTGTGTGTGTGTGTGTGTGTGTGTGTGTGTGTGTGTGTGTGTGTGTGTGTGTGTGTGTGTGTGTGTGTGTGTGTGTGTGTGTGTGTGTGTTGCATACTATATGCCATAAAATGTAATGACCGGAATGCAGGGCTGGAGGGGCCCCAAACATTATGGGGGCCCAACAATGTTGCGTGCCCTCCCCCCCCTTGGACGAAGTCCTGGATCCAACTCTGCGCCACCGGACCTCTTGACGCAGTGACACCCATAATCACGTCCGGTGTCCTTGTTGTGAGCTGCCTTAAAAGCTGGCTTGGGTCCGGCACTTCATATGAAATGAGGCACAGATACGTGCCCTCTCAAAACTGCACTACAATATATTCTTAATTAGCAGAATCGCACACCAAGCGTACATTATTGATATCATTTTACCCGGTATGGGTCTACTACATCGTGAACACAGTATCCATAAAACTGTGTATTTATCCACTCCACGCTATCAACAAAGTGGTCCAAGCAGATGATTCAAAACATCTCATCGAAATAAATAAATGCGCAAAAGAAAAAGCAATCAACTGCACAACGCGCGACGGACAAGAGCCAAATCCTAAATACTGCGGCAGCATTGCACGCGCTAAGTGGCGCTTACAACCATGACTTGGTGCATCAAGTCACATTCCGCCTCGGATCGCACACTGCCATTAAAAAAACAAAAACGCTTAGTCGCATCGCTCATCAGTCACATCAGTTGTGTCTCTATGTGCGCAGATACTAAGCCCTCGCCGGAAGAACATTGTCACATGTGAGCCGGACGTCGGTGCTCACAGGTCCCGGGACGTCGGTGCTGACAGGTCCCGGGACGTCGGTGCTGACAGGTCCCGAGACGTCGGTGCTCACAGGTCCCGGGACGTCGGTGCTCACAGGTCCCGAGCTATCTAGAAACGCTCAACAAGCTGGAGCGGATGGTGACATGATATAGCTAGTGTCGAACGGCAGCACATTTGTGCCACTAAAAACCAGTACATGTTCCCTTTCATAGCCCAAATGAGGTCGATGGCGGTGCGAACTTGATGAATCTAGGCCTCTCTGTGTTAAGACCCGTGCGCGGTGACAGTGAGGAAGGCTGCATTGTATAGCACTTCGCCACCCTCAGTGATACGCCGATTGTAACCCATAAAAGAACGTGGCCCGTGGAAAGTCAAATTGGTTCATATGCATCAGGTATTGTGTGTGTAATGCATGGGCCAAACACGGTAGCTTAAGAGCTAGCTGAACGGCTCTGGATAGCACTTGTCGAAATGTATCTAACATCCTTGAATGTAACCTGGGAGGTGGGAACTGGGCGTTGAGGGATACAATTTTGAAAAAGTATTCAGTGGGCGCACTTGGTCCGGTTCTGTATTTACAGAATCGCATCACTATGTGTTGTGGAGTAGTCATTTAGGCTATGTAAACTGCAGAAAATGCGTACCACCTAAAATTTGAACTCAAGACACAAGCAACATGACCTCTACACGAAGGTCATTACGTGTAACCTGTGCATTACCTGTGGAATGCAGTGTCTTCAAAGTTAATGGGCTATGTGAGATGTTGCCATCTCAACTTCTAAAAACCTTAACAACATGCCTTCATTGTCTTTGAAGTTATTTTCGAGAACGCTTGGTCGCGATGTGAGGGCTCCATTGTCCAGCGAGGGTTAATAGACCAGTATACCGACAAGTTTTCAGCTGGGTTTGAGTGTTTATGCTGCCTCCTATAAATGTACACTGAAAACGGTGTGTCATGCGATAGTAGCTGCACATAGTAGTGCTGTTCCGAAGTAGCTTAAATAATATGCATAGTGCTATGGAGCAAACACACCGTCGAGATGACGCGACTGTCGCTTACATAGTGTATTCAGGATAAATATCGCTGTATGTGTCTGTCGGAGTCAGTCAATGAACAAAGCCGCACCCGATCGGACGTGTGTCGGTGCAGAGTGCCGCCCCAGCGAACGAAGCACCAGGGACCGGACGGTATCACGACACTGCACCTAGGTATAGACGTAATAAGCTAGGCGATAGGCCAAACATGTCTCCGCTAATCGGGTAAAGGACTGATGTAAAAGTTTCAGATTAATGCAAGAGAAACATCAAAAGAGTTGGGCACCAGTGTCGGCCATTTGCTTGATCTCGCCTTTTCAGCAAAGCTTTCTGGCGAATCACAAAGGTTGAAGGCAACACATTTCAGCTACAGATAATTGTGTGTGATTTATAGGAAAGTTGGTATTAAGTAGTCGCAACGCTTGCTGCTCACAAGCCTGGCACAGGTTGTATAGGTTGAAAACCATCGCCCACATTAAATGCAGCCTGTAGATGAGAACAGCTTGCGTTGACTGAGATATCGTCTGCTGGTGTCATGAGCTGTGTACATTGATGATGCTGACGGCTGCATGGATTACCACCGCTCTGTCTTGTTTAGAGCCATCTCGACTCGTTAAGGCTGCTGAGGTGGGTGGGGGGGGGGGGGGGGGGGGGGCGGGGGCGATTTGTGGCGGCACAGGTTACTCTCGGCCGTCTGCCGCGCACATTAAAAACCAGCTGTGCTGAGAAGTAGGTACAGAGATGCAGAGTGTAGTGTATAGTATGGGGTGCAGACGAATCGCATCGTTTAAGGCGCAGGACAATCATATTAAAACAACCATCTGAGCACCTACCAAATAACCTGCAGAAATGCAGGTAACCAACCAGAAAACCCCTACAGAAATGCAAGTAATGGTCAAGCCTGTCTTTTTCCAAATTCGACGGGCTGACACTAACAGCAATGAACTTATCCAGTGCACTGGAGCAGTGCATTAAGACGAGCGACGCTGCCGCCCTCTCATCTACGTAGCAGTCCTATAGCCTCGGCATGGTCATCATAAATGGCGCCCGCCTCCCTCTGCGCCGTCGGCCGTGCGCTGTGTGCGCACCGCCGTCTCACGGGCTGCGAGCGCACGGTCCGGAGGTGACTTTGACGTCGTCCAGCGCCAGTACGGTGGCCTGACCGAACGCGAAGCTGGGTACGGCTGCAGAGAAGCGGAGCCGGCCCGGCTGCGAGACTTCCTCCAGCTGGACCCGGCCGCGCCGCATCTGACCGCGGGCGTTGGGCCTCACCACGCGCCGCGCGGCCCGGCCGCCAGTCAGCGGCTCCAGCGACACCAACAGGTCCACGGGGCTGCTGCCGCGCAGCTCGTACTTCATGTAGGCGAACGTGACGCAGACGGTGCCGCTGCGCGGCGGCTGCACGCGACTCTGGAACGTCAGCTGGCTCGACCTGCCGAACGTCACAGCCGTGCCCAGGATCCGGCCTGCGGGGTGAGGTGCAGAGGTCAGGTGACGGCGGCCGACACGAGATAGCGGACCAAGCGGACAAGTAATGGAGATCTCGCGCCTTTTTAACATGTTCATAATTGCTTACGTTACTAAGCAGCTGCAGTGTTCAAATGCATATCAAAGTTAAATTATTCCCGTCCATACTCGGTGCAAAAATTTTCGCCACGGCACAGGCACACAAGACTGGCAAAACTCATATTCGCAGAAATGGCTCAACTGCCTAAGAGACTAGCACTGCCCCCCCCCCCCTCCCCCACTACCCCCCCCCCCCCCTCCCGTTGCAGCCCGGTCGCACCTGATCAGGGCGGCACCTGCCCTCATCAGTCACTCACGCTGCGCCGAGCTGGTGCGGATGATCTTCCAGGTGGACCCGGCGTACTTGACGCTGCATCCGTCGCGGTCGAGGTCGCAGCTAAGGAGAGTGGTGGCCGGAGCCGGCCGGCGCGGCGGTGCGGTGGCGGTCGGCCGCGGCCGCTGCGCCGTGGGCGGGCGCCGCGTAGGCGGTCTAGCCGTCGGCCTGACCATCGCCGCAGGGGTGGTCGCCGGGAGCGTTGCGTCCTCCGCTGTACACGAAGACGCATTCACGTGGTCAGATGCGGCGACATAAGAACACAGGTGGCTTGATCATTTCGAACGCTCCCGTATTTTTCTTCTCTTACCTCGTTAGCTATATGGAAAGCAGTGTTGTTTGTGGCCATATTGCATTGTATTGTTAAAAAATATTGTGCCAGGAAGATATACAACTAGCAACTAATTCATGGGAAATGTGGGTGTGCAGTCATTTATATCATTCTGAGAATACAAACCATGTCCTCTAGAACGATTTTGTGTCCCTCCCTTACCATCACATTTTCACGGGTGGGTATCAGAACGGCCTACTCACTGCAGATGCCCGGAAACTCTCTGGAGCATGTGGTGCCGCTGGGGCAGTTGCTGCAGGCGGCGCCCCTCTCGTACATCTGGCCGCGCTGGAAGTTCCCGGCCGCGCCGTAGTTGCACACGTACAGCTTGGTCCACCAGGGTCCCTCCTTGTACAGGGTGTAGCCACAGCCGATGCGGGTGGTCTCTGCCCACACCATCTGAGTGTAGTGGCCGATGCTGGTCTCGAATCTGCGCAGAAAATTCGATGTCAGGACGTGGCCGCACATGAGCGGAGGAAATGGGGTATTCTAGCTAGCTAAAAATGAAAGTGTGAATTAAATCATTGCACTAATCTGAAACTTCACATGCAGTCCAGGATATTGAAAAATCATAGGTGTGGGACGTTGCTTTCAGCAGCAGTCTGTGCATTTCAGTAATGGCAGCACAGCATCATTAACATAAGTTGATGAACCCTTGACACGCTCGCGAATTCAGTAGTGAAACCAAAGCTGGACTTCTACTCCTAGGAGTGGTGCCAAGATGATGAAAAGCTAAGACGGGTGCCAAATCGAATGGTTTAGTATTGCAGTAATTAGTGGGGTTTCGCGGTCTGCGGCTCTCTACGCCGTCATTGGAATGACGTACCTTTACACCAAATCCCTTCACAAATACAACACGTATGAATGGACTGTCAAGATGTAAGCACGATTGCAAGTGCTAGTAAACCCATATTTCAGCGTTCTCATGTCCAGGATATTGCATATATGTCCAGGATAATATATATATATATATATATATATATATATATATATATATATATAGTATATATATATATATGTGTGTATGTGTGTGTGTGTGTGTGTGTGTGTGGTGTGTGTGTGTGTGTGTGTGTGTGTGTGTGTGTGTGTGTGTGTGTGTGTGTGTGTGTGTGTGTGTGTGTGTGTGTGTGTGTGTGTGTGTGTGTGGTGTGTGTGTGTGTGTGTGTGTGTGTGTGTGTGTGTGTGTGTGTGTGTGTGTGTGTGTGTGTGTGTGTGTGGCAGGATGTCGTGCTGTGCGCCCATGCAGTTTCCAGGGCTGCCTTCTGATGGAGTGTCGCAGTCTCCCCACCTGTGTTGTTAAGCATCGCACCGTACCGCGCGGACCGGCGCTGTGTGGCGCAGTCCCCGCCCGCCTGACCACGTTGCGCGCTCACATGAGCTCTGCGCCACTCACACGAACGGCTCGATGCGCTGCGGGTCGAACATGGCCACCTCGTCGTACCAGGCGTACACAGCCCGCTTCCATTCGGGTGCGTTCTCCAGCCGCGTGCTGGACGAGCTGTACAGGTTCTGGCCCACCTTGAAGCGCGCTGAAAGGCACGACCGTCACAGTCGTCACGTCTGTGGAGTTCGCCACCTGACGACGATCCAGCCAACCGAGCCAGCCACCTGATGGCGCTGCTGAGAACTAAACCCGCCAGCTGACGGCGCTGCTGAGAATCAGGCCAGCCGCAACAGATGTGTGCGTGAAACTGACGATCATGACGCAGAGGAGCGTGGTACAAGATAGAATCACACATTACGTCACCGGCCTTATGTTCCAGCTGGTGGCCAAGCCCAGCATTCATCCTACAATGAGGACTACAGTCACGGCAGAGCAGAGCAGAGCAGGGTAACTCACCAACTCGTTTGCAATCGCGACAGTCGTGCTGGAACACGCACTGTTCAGCATGCCGCTGAGCGCCCCTCGCCAACTCCTCGTCCCACTCCTGCGTACAGTCACAGTCGAGAGCATGTCAAGACAACGGCCAGCTCCTTGCCGCACCCATTACACCCGCCCATCAGGGAACTGCCCGGCGGATTAAAGACGCCTCAGCCGGGCGGATATATTGTAAGTGATGCAAAAATCAGCTGGAGATGTGTGACAGAACCACGAAATGTGTTAGCGACCCAAAATCCAGCAGTTGCTAATGATCAGAGACCGCTGGCCAGTAGCAACGAGATGACTGCCTTCCCTGGTGGCAGAAATAGAGAGAGCACTTCGTGTTATGTCCGCTAGGTGGCTAATTTGCACCAGCGGCCACTACCACTTGTTCGGTTTCCAAATCAGACTGCAACCCGCCCATTGGCACTATCGGCCGATGTGAGAATTGATGGTGATCGAGTGTGATAACATCGTAATCTGATGACAGCGCACCATGCGAGATAGGTGGCATCATTAGTGCACGGGGAGGCACTCAGTGGTTCCTGGCCAGTAGGCATGGTGCGAATCTGCTCGCTTTAGTCAGGCTTATGATTGACTTATGATCACCGATCTTGATTCACTTTGTCAACAAGCAAGATGTGGCGCAAAGGTCAACGCTGCTGAGCGGTGGCAAGTGTAATGATCAACGACTCGTTAGATAAGTGACAACCATTCAAAGACTGAATTGGCGTTCAATGGGCCTGTTTCCTCTCACCATCCGTGCACTGTAAAAGTCACCGTCACACTCCCCAGTATTGGTACGCCACGTTAGCGAGGAGAGAAGGGTGGCCTCTGAGCCATAACGCGGCCACAAATGGTGCCGGGCCGCCCGCCGCGAGCAGCCGGCGGTCGTGTGAGACGCGCGTCGGCGGCGCTCCGTCGGCGGCGGCGGCCTTGACGGCGACCTCCGCTCCGCTCTCTCACCAGCTGTCGCATGTTGGAGGCGGACGGCTGGGCGAACGACTTGCCGCGCGTCTCGCGGCCGTTGGCCACCTTGGACCGCAGCCGGTTGTGCTCGGCCACGATGTATTTGGCCTCCTGCGCGCTCACCTGGCGCGCCTGCAGCTGGTCGCAGGCTGGTCCGGGGCCCTGGAGAGAGGCAGAGAGAGAGAGAGAGAGAGAGAGAGAGAGAGAGAGAGAGAGAGAGAGAGAGAGAGAGAGAGAGAGAGAGAGAGAGAGAGAGAGAGAGAGAGAGAGGGTCAGATGACGTGCGGCACGTTCCGGCGCAGCACGCAGCCGCACGCACGTGCTGCGGGGCGCCACGTACCCTGGGCGTGGTCCGATGCGCCGTTAAACTGCATCGCATCACGAAACGCGTCACGATGACGGTCCGCTCGCCAAACAAAATGAACCCCCATCGGAATCGAGCCCGGATGAGCCCATGAAATTATTCGTTTTTGCAAAGCCACATAAGACCCAGAATGTTAATAATATGCGATGAAGACTGACTATTTAACTAAATATACGAAGACTAATTATTATAATGCGGTCCAATTCATTCCTGAAAGTTGTCCACCAGAAATAGGCTTCTGGCCCGGCCGGGCAGAGGTCGGTGACCCAGGGCACCCGCCAGACAGCCAGCACAGGACGTGGCCCGTTGGCCGTTCCGTGTCCGCTGACGACCAGCCGACAGTCGCAGGTCTGTCATTCCGTGTCCGCTGACGACCAGCCGACAGTCGCAGGTCTGTCATTCCGTGTCCGCTGACGACCAGCCGACAGTCGCAGGTCTGTCATTCCGTGTCCGCTGACGGCCAGCCGACAGTCGCAGGTCTGTCATTCCGTGTCCGCCGACGACCAGCCGACAGTCGCAGGTCTGTCATTCCGTGTCCGCTGACGACCAGCCGACAGTCGCAGGTCTGTCATTCCGTGTCCGCTGACGGCTGGATGGCACTCGCACCTGGCGGCCGGCGTTGTGAAGACGGCGCCGGACGGCCCGTCCAAGTCACGTTTTCCAATTACACCGTGTGACGACACGAGCGGCGTGCCCGTTCGGCGGTGGCGCGCGCCGGCGGCGGCTAATTGTTCTCCGCTCTACGCCTGGCGTGCTTTCGGTGCCATCGTCCAGCGGCCTGGCTGGGCGACGGCGGCGCCTGAAGCCGCCACGGGAGGAACGATGGCGACGTGCCTGCCGACGGCCCCGGACCGCCACGAGCGCGGCACCAACGGCCGGCCAGCAAACACCGCCGGAACCTGGCTGCGTATGGTGAAGCAAGGGTCTGAGCAGCGTTCATTGGTCACGCAAGTTCATTTACCAGCCCGATTATATGCCAGTTTGGGTTCTTCCCTCTATGCATAAACATTCCACCAATGTAAGTATCGATGAGACCCAGTCACTTGTGGTGCGTGTGCTCACATGGCGTGATTTGTAGGTGCTTAAGTTCGTAGTTTCCTTTTTATGAGACTGAGGCCAGGTCACGTTTGTTGAATAGCCGACTGAGCTTTCGGTCGGCCTGCAGCGTCCCCCCGTGACCCGCTCGCATGACCTTTTGCACCTGGAATGGGTGGGCTGCAACCACGGCCATGCGATAAGGGACAGGCCAGTTTGGCTTGTCCTGTTGTGGCCCGTGTCGGTCAGGCCGTCGGCGCCGGGTATACGTCCGCGGCCCAGCCCCGGAAGCCGGGCGGCGAGGGACCGGTCGTCCGGTCGACCTCGGTTCCCCCTCCGTCAGATGAGGTGCGATAGCCCTCAGCCAGGCGGCTTGACGGCCGACCATCCAGCCAAAGCTCGGCAGGGCTGCTGTGGCGCGGCTGTCGCAGCGTCGCATCAGCTTCTCGCTGCGCCGCAGCAGCTTCTCGCTGCGCCGCTCGAGCACATATGGTTGGGCGCCATGATGAAGCCGCACACGATCCCACGCCTACACACACCCGCCAGTTGCTCATATGCCAGGGTGGTCTTACAAGGCTGACTCGTCCTGGACAGACGAGAATCTAGGCCATGCAGAGCTCCCACATCCAGCGGCTACGCTGCTTTAATTACGTGTCCCACTGCTAAATTTGCTGCGATTTCGTGACGCCATTCTGTCAGTGGCGGCCTCAGGCGTCTGGCGACAGTCCTGTCGGCCTTGCTGTGATCCGACCGGCACCGGCAGCGCCGCGCTCCCCGATCTTTGGCCGGAGACGAGGCGGCCCGAGACGCGCACCAAACGAGACTTGGCCACGACGCCACACAAGTGGACCTGATGAGAGTGATCACTCTGACCATGTCTTAGTCGCCTAGACTCTGAACAAGCCAGAGTGGCGAGAAGCCCAGCGCACAGAGCAACTGCTATATGCACTGGACCGGGCTGGTATTCGCGTCAGTCGAAACTGGCGCTGCCCTGCCGTCCCGACGGCGTGGCAAAACAGCCGCAGCTCTCGAAAGGAACCAACAGTGACGTGCCGCCGGCACCGCGCGTCGCACGCCCGCGGCGACGTCGCCAGCAGTGTGGCCGGCCGCGCACCCCATCGGCGGCGTCGGTCGGCCCTCCAGGCGTGACCCCAGAGAGCCGGGTTGACGGCCACAGCCGGCTGGCTACTGTTCTCAGTTCGCCAGTGCAGCCCACACCCTGCCATGCCGCACTAGCATATGGCCGAGATGGTATCGCCAGCAGACAGCAGCCTGCGGCCACCGATTGCACATCCAAAGGCATATGGCCGAAAAATGAGCCGCCTTTGGTAGCCGTTCATATGGCAAAATCATTAGCCCAATTTCGCAACATCACATACAACAGCCGCCTGCGTCACTGGGACCGATAATGATTGGTACCGCCTAATTCTAATTGGTGTCGTGTCGTCACCTCACTGTATGGCATTCCGACTGGCCATTGCTTAAATAGTTGCCATTTCCAACTTAACTAGTAGCAAAGTCAAATTTCAAATATGTCATCAGATATAGCAGAAAGCTGGAGCATTTTGGAAGCCTTCAATTGTTTTGGAAAAGCATGCACGAGCAAGCAAGCAGTCTCAGCCTCCGGCCACAGGGTCGCTGACTGGCTTCAGCCTCCGGCCACAGGGTCGCTGACTGGTTTCAGCCTCCGGCCACAGGGTCGCTGACTGGTTTCAGCCTCCGGCCACAGGGTCGCTGACTGGTTTCAGCTTCCGGCCACAGGGTCGCTGACTGGTTTCAGCCTCCGGCCACAGGGTCGCTGACTGGTTTCAGCTTCCGGCCACAGGGTCGCTGACTGGTTTCAGCCTCCGGCCACAGGGTCACTGACTGGTTTCAGCCTCCGGCCACAGGGTCACTGACTGGTTTCAGCTTCCGGCCACAGGGTCGCTGACTGGTTTCAGCTTCCGGCCACAGGGTCGCTGACTGGTTTCAGCCTCCGGCCACAGGGTCGCTGACTGGTTTCAGCCTCCGGCCGCGCGGCGGCAGCTGTCACCAGCCGCCTGTGCAGGCTGCCATGGACCAGGCCCCGCGACCGTCCTGTCCCCAATGTAACGTGACCGACTGCCGCTCGCGCCGAGTAGAACGCACGCCACCCGCACGGAGTAGATTTGCCCTCCGAGCCGAAGGTGCTGCCTTCCTGGTAGAAGTTTGGATCTGGCTAGACATAGCCGGATTAGACGTGTCTGATCAGACCGTATAGCGAGTTGTCTGAAATGCTTCTTCAATAACCCAGAATTTCTACACAAAAATGTGTTTTTCATCAAATTATTCCATTACGCTCTTCACTTATCACTACTTAGGTTCAAATTAACGTTACCAATTATTTCGTTTTAACCATCTGCATCCAAAGAATTTGTTCAGCAGACTTCACGACAACTTTGTTCGTGACAAGTTAAATGACCATTTGCAATACCCTGCTTTGATAGAAATCCATTGATTAAAACATTCCAAGCCAGCTTCGGCTTTGGCTTCGGCGTATAGCCCCCTCAGCCGTTAGCAGCGCTAAAGCCACGCCGTCATCCATGCGACAGATTCCTCGCACCACTCAAACGGGTTGGCTCGCTGGACGGGGGTACACAGTCGCTGCTACACTAAAGGTGAACTAGTGCCGTTTACAGCTTTTGCTGTTGTTTCAGGCTTTGGATTTAATCTACATTAATTGCTAGTCGCATGCCTTGGCTGTCCCCGGTACAATTTGCAGTTACATGTTACGTGATTTTAGTTCTGCGCATTCACTGCGGTGTTTTTTCCATGTCTCTATGGGAAACATACGCTTTCTCTCTAAAGGAAGCAGGAAGGGAGCAGGAAGGGAGCAGGAAGGGAGCAGCATGCATATCGCACCGCCTGCAACAGCCGGGCCGCAATTTGCACGTGCGGAATGCCCGATCCCATGTCAGCTGCGCGGCGTGTTGCGGCCACGGCAGCGGTGCGGAATGCGGCACCTGCCGGCGGCGGCCAATTCGCTGCGGCCCCCGCCAGTGCGCCGGCGACCACAAACGGCCCGGCGCCCAGGCGCCGCGTGCGTCTGCACCTCAGCTGGCGTGACGGCTTGACGACACTTGAGGGTGTCGAGCCACACTGCCTAACCGATGGGCGGCCGTCGCTGCTGACGCGCACTCCCTAAAGCATCGGCAATGGTGATGCGCTGTGACAGTCTAAGCGGTCCGTGAACCCTTGATTGTTCGAGAAGTTAACAGGGACAGAAATACTGATTAACTACCGGTAGCTGGCATTTCTACAGACATGGGGCGTAATACGGGGTAGTGAGCATTTACCAGCAAAACAGGAGAATATAGCAAAAAGAAACAAACCAGAGGTCAAACGTTAGTGAAAATGCGTCTGCGGCTAACATGGTGCGATTCATTCAAATCTTAATTTTATGCAGATATGTCAAGTTTGACATGCAATTACACTTCGTCGGCATCATCACATCTATGAACAGTTGCAAGCAATATTATCGAAACTATTCTCGTTGCGAATGCATTTCGTGTGGTGTGCCAGTGATCAATTTTGATAATAAGCGTACTCTATTAGCTCATGTACGTGATTGCACTGTCTGGGACCTTCCACCACCACTTTGTTGACAAAGCTGATTCACAATATTGTCGGTGTGAAGGGAATGGGCGACACCGATTTCGATGGCCTCTGAAGCATCTCGTGTTGATTGTCCCTGCTTGACTGAAGAAATGTCCCACGGTGAGTGGTCCCGTTCCCAGTTCATGTTCGGCAACCGCAACCATAAAGTTCCATACCGTAGACGGTAGTTAGTAACTGCATCACTCTTATCACTGTCATTGCGGGGTAAACACGTCATTGCCGCACTGCATAGCAGCACGATTACGGTGATTGGATTAACTTCGACTTTTCATTTCATTGTAATCCAGATGACTTCCGGCAGACTGATGTTTCGGTGCCTGGCTCGGAAACGATTACATCAACAGCGCCTGAGGTCAGCCGTGGCGCGTCGCTGAGAATCGAATACCAATCAACCACAGTATGGTACGCTGGATAATCTCCACACTTGCAAGCACTCAGTGTTGTTAACAGCTTTGGTCGTTATTTTTTGTTTAAGGTGTTTTCAAACTTACTTGCTTATCTCATGCTTTCAGTGACCCAGCTACACTTTTTTCTACGATGGAGGAGAAAAATTTCTTGTCAACTCTCCTAGCGCATTCATTACGGAGAGTTTTTGTGATGGCCTCCAAAGATGGCTCTTGCGGCTAACACTGGTTTTGTATACAGATTTTATACGCATAACGTGACGTAAAATGACGTTGTCGGTATGCATTAAACACTTCAGTCTTTGTCAAAACAAACAGCATGGCTTCCAGACCGGCTACCGATGGCAGTCCGCTGCAGCTGGTGCGCTCACTAGCAGCGACAAATCACGGCGGGATTCCGTTACTACCGCTACGTGGCCGAAACAGCGAAGGCAAGTGTACTCACCTGGAATTGGCAGAGCGTGTGCTTGGGAGTAAATCGGCAGTACTGGTTCTGCGCTCGTGCCACCACCACAGCAGCCGCGCAGAAAACAACGCTCCAGCCGCACCTCATCGTGATCAGGATCTGGGCAAAAACGGCACGGAGAACGTTACCAACAGGTGGCTAGCGTGCTGCGACGGCAGAGCACCGAAAACAAGCTTTGATTCGTGACGAACGCACCCACTTAATACATACTGTTGGTTTTCTTAGGGGCAAAGCGAGCGCTTACTTTGCATGCCTGTTTCAGAGTTAGTTTTTAAGTTAGGCTTGTTAGTCAGGTTAATAGTTGGCAACTATTGGTCTTGACGTTGCTGAAGCGTGCGCCATGATGTTGTACACGTCGCAGTGATGCAGGCAGCCAGTGCCATGTTATTGCGGATTATTCGTATATCAAATTTAAGGCATGGTGGATGTTGCGTAAAAGGCAGAAGGGGTCAAGAGAACATAACGCAGATCTCATAGGGATACAGTGAGAGGACAATGTGCACAAGTGCGATTTTCATATGGATGAGGCTGATAACACATTTTTGGCATTCATCATACGCGGATGGGCAGGACAGTGTCATTTAAAGATCATTAGGCTAGTGAAGAATATCAGTTCTAAATTTCGGTATCACTTTCTCTTTCAGTACACGAAGCCATTTTTTTTACTGATAATTTTGGCTTCAGACTGGGGGTCGAGGGGAAGGAAAAATGGGGAAAGGAGCCAGGCATCCACGCACCGTATCTTGTCAACTTGCAATCGACGCGGGATATCGTGGCACTTACGGATTTGCATGGTGCGCGTTTCGAGCATTGTTTCAGCCACCCCGTATAAACGACTACAACGCTGACTATTTGTAAAGCTCGTAACTGCGATAAAATGTGTGGATAATTATACATTAAAATGCGTTGTGACTGTTTGAAGATTAAAGCTACAGTAAAATATCTGTTTTGACTAAATTCAATCGTAAGGCAATGATCTGTCGATGTAACAGCCGCTTATTGCGCTCGCCTGGCCGCGGTACTGGGCAAGGGCTCCGCTGGCGCCTGAGATCAACTGACAGCGGGAAACTCACTCAAGTCGTTTGGCCGGCCAGCGTGGTAACAGTCGGCGACCTCGACAGCGCGCTCTGGGTCAGGGATTAGAGCGGAGCCTGCCACTGGGCCAGGGGCGGCGCAAATGAGGGCTGGGCCATCCCCTGTCCAAAACTCGTGAAACCCCTGGCGGCAGCGGCGACCATATTGTTCAGCGATAGCACCTCCAAAATCCCTGACTTGCCCCCCCCCCCCCCCACCTTCCCACCCCCACCCAAATCACCAGTTTGGACTCCATCGATGACAGCCACTTTGCAAGTAGATCGGCCGCGGTAACAGAGAACAGAGCCCTTGCTTAGCTGAACGGCGGTCTTCATTACCTCAACTTCGGTCAAACGCGCCGCACGTTTGATGGAGAGAGACACCGCGCTATGTTAGCCGGTTTGGTTCGTTGTTAGCTTGTTTGGTTCAGCCGCACTAGTTCTGCAGAGTGATTTAGTACACGTGCGGGACATCACTCCATCACGCAGGTTTACAGGCCCCTTTTGCATTCAGACGAGCGCGGGTGTATAATTATGTCGGGGAGGTGGCCCGAACAACTACAGCAAATGGAAACCCACGTAATGTTTGCGCCTGCTGCCTAGGCTCGGGCGCTTCATTTTGCGGCGGAACATTAAAACGAAGGTAATTTACTTGGCCTTGTAGGCCACCATTGAAGGCCAAAGATGCGGAACGTCTCTGAACGATGACATTATCGGCGCGGCAGTGGCGCTGCGTGCGCGGGCGACCACCACTCCGCTCCGCCTCAAAACTCCGCGGGCGTCTAGGCCGGATCTGCATCGCTTCCGGTCCCGCGTCGCTGAACACGGCTGAACAGGCAGAACGAGTTCAGCAGAGCCGAACGAACAGTACACCATGCGCGGCGGGAAGCCGGCGTCGGGGACACGCTCCAGCACCAGCCGCTGCGTGCGGATCAGCGGCAGCACCACCCGCTGTGTGCGGATCAGCTCCAGTACCGCCCACTGCGAGCGGGTCAGCTCCAGTACCGCCCGCTGCGTGCGGATTAGCGCCAGGCTCGGCTGCAGCGCACAGATCATCTCCAGTATCGGTTTCCGTGTACAGATTGGTGTCCGCCACCAGAGATAGCTCGCCGCCAGACCTGTGACGCGGACCGGTGCTGGCCGCGGGGCTGGGGGGCGCCGCAGCGGCTGCTGAGCGGCCCGGGCCGGCGGAGCGGCCGCGCCACACCACACCGGCGGCGTGCCGATCAAGCCACGCTGGGTGCGGCCGAGCGGGCGCAGCGGCCGGCTGGCTCCAGTGCCCGGCATGCACCGCAGCCATAAAGCACACCATCTGATAGCTCGGCACTCTGTGGTCAAGCTGTGCAATGGGATCCGAGATCTGCCGCTGGTTTTGCCGTAAGTTTGTGTTCGTGACAATGCTTTGGTTGTCCGATTCGCGTGGCTCTGCGGCAATATTCCTGTTAGCATCATTAGCGTGTTATATATATATATATTTCAAAAACCGAGACCTAAGGCAACAATGTCTGTTATTTGGAACAGCGCAACCTTGTAGTGAGTGCATTTTTCTTCATCGAAAATCGCTACGAATTTTCGTAATTTCCTTGCACGAGACTCTGATTAGCTATCGCCTGCGTACTCGTTTCTAGCAGCCAAGCAGCATTAAAATCACAGTTCTTTGCCGGAAAAAGATGAACATATGCACCCAGTTAACTACTGTACGATTGGTTACGAATTATTAAAGTTTACTGAGCCTTTATTTTTGAAATCAATACCAGACTTCAAGACGTTTCTATACACACGTTTTAACTGAAATGCTCTTAGTTGGCCCTGATATTATTAGAGCTCGTCGTGGGTTGCCTCTATCAATGCCACTCAATGCATGATGCGCATCAGACACTGCAATAGCAGAAGTGTATGCAAGATGCAAAATGTAGGGACAGCTCAAAGGCTCCCACCAAACACTTAGTTTAACTCGTGGCGGAAAATGACACGGCATGCTCCTGATTTACTTATGTTATTCTCGGCCGAATCAACGCATGTCACAAATTTGATTAGGTCGCACCACGTGCCTTCAAGGCTACTACTGGCCACAAGTTTTTCAATCTTTGTCTTCCCAAGGCCTGAACATTTAACATCTAAATTTATGTCGATAATATGCCAACAGTCACGCCAACAAAGCGTAACGCGGAAGTGCAAAATTGTCACAGATGCGACAACAAAGAAAAAGTTTCTCGACATATATTGAACGAATGGTGTATATGAAATCACCGAGGTTTCAGCTTTCGGACAGAAGCGGCTTACTTCGTACCGGCTGTACATTACGGCCGCTTCCAGCGAACTGCAGCGGGCCACCGGCGCCGGCCGCGAGGCTGCGGTCTGAGCGCGAGCCGCCAGCCGGCACGCACTTGTGAGCCGGGGAGTCCGCGACGCGCCGAACCCGACAACCTCCGGCGGAGAGAGAGAGGGGGAGAGAGAAAGGGAGAGAGAAAGGGAGAGGGGGCGGGAGAAGTAGAAGGAGAGAGAAAGAGAGAGAGAGAGAGGGAGAGAGAGAGAGGGAGAGAGAGGGAGAGAGAGAGAGAGCGAGAGCGAGAGAGAGAGAGAGAGAGAGAGAGAGAGAGAGAGAGAGAGAGAGAGAGAGAGAGAGAGAGAGAGAGAGAGAGAGAGAGAGAGAGAGAGAGAGAGAGAGAGAGAGAGAGAGAGAGAAGGGGAGAGGGAGTGAAGGTGTCGGCAGAACTGGGCCCAGGAACAACCAGAGGCTGTTACAGCTACTGTGGTCTGTCGAGTAAATGGAATCACTCCAGTAAAAACTGGGCCACGCTCATGGGCCTCACTAGCGCGTACCTACTGACACTTCCGTCCCATTTGTGTTGAGCCGTGGTCCGAATTTGATTGATCCTTGAAGGGCATCTGTCACAACTGCCATCGACAAAAGGCATTCAGATGGCGACCATAACTGAATGGTTTCGGAGGCATGGACTACTCTGCTCTTCCGTTCCGTGGCGTCAAATATTGTCGTCGCGCCTGACGTGCCAACATGTACTCGAAGATTTTGGAAGTTTCTTTAACATTATAAAAAATATCTGCGCTCTTCCACGTTATTATCGTGGAAGAGCGCAGATATATTATCCACGTGCAAGTCTATATTGGTATATGGCGACGACTTGGGCCCTGCAGTGACACGGTGACATGTGACGCGTTTGACGACACGTTGGCACATTCGCAAGTGATTACAAACCATTGAGGTGGCGTAAAACCCCGCAATGCGATCGCTTGCTGATAAATGTCATCGTGCTGCATGATCTGCTTACAAATTAGTAGATACGACATGTCTTAGAGCTGTTACGGAGTCAGGTGTGTGTTTTTTAGTTGTGGAATACATGTATATGAATAAACACATCCATTCCAGACATGTACGCCTTCCCTCTTTCTCCCTCTGAACCAGTGAAATGCTGGAACAAACTGTTCAACTGTCTACCATAAAGTCAGACAGCATTTGAATGTAAGCTCGGTTCTTGCCCCTCACAAGTGCATTTCGGCACGCTGCTGCGCCGCGCAGTCCGCTCCCTCCCTTCTCTCTTGCCCTATGTTACCTGTCTGAACTGCCAGCTGCCACGGTTTGTTGGGCTGGCGCGTCTGACTGCCGTTGACAGCTAGATGCGGTCAGCTGGGGATATCGCCGACCTCACAGACCACGCGTGCGTGCAATTCAGACATACATGCGCGCAGCCCGCAGTGAAGGGATGGTTGACGCATACTAGTAACATCAGAAACATTAAATACTTCATAATGTCGGCAGGGTTGATCTCTTGGCAAAGGGCTTGTAGAAGCTTTTGGAATCCAATCCGATTCGAATGTCGCCCTAGCAAGCCAACTGTGGACCTATGAGCCCTTCGCAATGAGCCCGGGGGAATGCTGCGTTCATTTACGTTCACTCCACAAGCGCTGGCGTTTATCATAGCCCCTCCTGACTTTTCCCAGTGATCCGGTCCGCAGCATGAACTAGATTCGTCTTAAGGATTTAGATGATATCAACCTTGTCGGAACCACGCTAGAAGCGGAATAAATTCCATTACGGATGCGTTTTCTCGCATTTCCCCGATGGCAGTTCGCCGCGACTAGCGCGCTGATGTGTTGAGGGTTTGGAAATGTAGTACGGTTTTCAACATGAGACAAATCCCTTTTGGCCAAGTGATGGTGAGATCAGAAATTCGCTTGTAGCTGATGCACATTCACATCCATAGGCTAGCTGCATACACATTGGCATTAACTGATCGGAGCATGGGCCTCGAACTCAACAGGCACGGCTAAAGGCCAAAGTCTCAAGGTCCATGGAACTCGATAAAAGCGTAAATATCCTATGCAATGTCAAACAGCTTTGACATACAGAGCGGCTGATAAACGCGTTTGCTTAAGTGAAGTTGTCATGTCGGTGCATTGGCACACGGGTCCTTTGACGGACGCTGCGTCAATGCAATGCGCGCTTCCATGTTTTCACATCGCTCTCGCTTTAGTCGCAGAACCTGTCCCCAGAAACAAGGTCTCGGTAAAGCTGCATAACAGTTCTTACGCTCCATTGATCATTGTCGTGGTTTAATGACACACTTGGAGCCTTGCGTCATCTATCATCGCAATGTCGCGCACTTATCGCCACGGAAAAAGACGCTGCCGGCCGTTCGCTTGATTCCCCAAGACTTGAAGGGTATCCTGCTGGCAAAATAACTGGTGGAGGATAGATTCGCCTACTTCGTACACTTAATTTCATGTTAGGATCGCTGTGGCTCCTGAGATGTGGCGTGATGAGATGTGATGCTTACATGAAAAAACAATCCAAAATAACCAATTGGCTTCAATTCAAGTGGCGCGCGAGCGGCCGCATTTTAGGGTTCTCATAGGCACGAATGCAGTCTCCTCACAGTAAAATCATGCAGATTCTGCTGCACTGCTATCCTAGGCTACTATGATTGCAAATTTTCCATCCATGTTCTGCAGATTTGTTGGTGGACTGAAATTTTCAATTAATTTGTCATGCATGTCAACGTCGCAGGAAAACTATTCTGTATCAAACACCATGCATGCAAACGACTTGAAAATATTGCAACACAATTTTTAAAGAATAAATAGGTGGCGTGAAATGTGGATGCAGATGGAGCATATAGAGCAAATAGCAATGTTTCCAAAACGATTTATGGGTACTCGCCTTCATTCTGAGTTCACCTTCATTGCTGATTCTTGTTCTAAACTTTCCCAATCAATTGGCAAAGCGCCAGGATTGCAGTTCCAGAGGAATGCGCAAAAGCCCCGGTCTTAGTACACTGACCTCACATTTGATATTGGCACAAGTGCCAGAGCGATGGCGCATTGGCGGGACCTTAAAGATATATGGGTATGTAATACCTAATGGATATTTGAGGTGTGTACTTTTGTAGCCCTACGCCGATGTTACAGTCAGGTGGGTATGTCACCAGTGACGGGTTTTGAAAATCCGGCTAACAAGGTTTGCATAGATGTTGCGCCAGCCAGAAACGGTTTTTATAACAAGCAAATTAAGGCACAAGTAGAGGCTGATTTTGATCACAGTTGACGGCTTCATCGAAACTATATGATATACTTACATAGTCCAAAGCTAGAAAAGTGGTAACTTATCGTACATTATTGCACTATTGGAGCTAGATAAATCCATGTTTGCGTGCTTGTTGCGCTAAGTGCTGCGGGGCCCGTATGACGCTATACTTATGGGTCCAAACATACACTGTCAGCAAAGGGCAGATTCGGACTGGCACGGGCTGTCAAAGCTGTGACATTTTGTTAACTTAAAACTGCATGCCGCTGTAATGATGGGTACGAGCATACACTGCCATCAAAGGGCTTATTAGCGTCGGGTCGTACTGTCAAAGCTGCGACATTTCGTTGACCTTAAAACAGGCCAGGCCTACAGCCTGGTGGCTTGTAAGCACACCAGAAAGATATGACCAGATCCAGCCCAATCACTCTTTCAGGCAAAGAATTCCCTCCACACTTCTGAAAAGGTTGGCAAGCCGCTTAAGGCTTTGTTTGCGATATCATAATAAATTCTTGCTCCTCCTGTGTTTACCTACAGCGTTCCTGGAGCTTAGCTGGAGCTTCTAGAGTGTGTTCCATCGTTTATTACAACTCCGAGACACTTAACCGATCATAGCGGTCTTTTGTGACTGACGTAGCTTTGCAGGACACTTTTACAGTCGGGAGACTACCCACGCGTAAGGAAACAGCGAGACAAATAGAAGCGTAAACTTAAGAAAATGCCTGTAAACTGGCCCACAAAACCGGCGCCTGTTCACGACGCGTGCAGTGATGGCCGCTACTCACGGTATGCTCGTCGTGTGGCGACCGCGTGCTCCGACGTCCTCCGTTCTGCTCGTGACCGAGTCGGCTTGATGTCTACCCCGCTGCGGTGCCGCTCGCTGCGTCGCACGTGCGCCACTGACTGTCGTCCGCGCTATGTCGGCTGCCGGCCGGCGCCTGCGCTTATGTATGACGAGTGGCGACGCGGCGAGCCCGCGACGTCACTCCGATCCGGCGGGGGCGGGGCAGAGCCAGCCAGGCACCCCCGGGGGCGGAGGGCGATGAGCTGACCTGTTGAAGATGTGGTGGTGATGGGGTCTCTAAGTCGGAAGGGAAGCTGACCCGGGGATGGCCGCTGTGTGGGTCCCATGCGTCCCACGCGGGTCCACGCGTGGGGCTCTGTGATATGTGGTGTAAATTAGCGGCATTGAAATGTCTTGCTCGGCTGCGTACTCACGGGTTAATATAAACAAAATTGCTTCTCCAAAAATATATTAGCCATCGTGACAGTGTTACACGTCACTTCAATTGCTTAAAGTTGAGTTCATTTAATTCATCTGGCATTGAATTCACCCCAAGTTATTTCATTTTCTCGCAAAGAAGCTGACGCCCATTGTTATCTGACAACCTTGAACTGATGCAGATGCATGATGTTGGGTATTTATGCCGCAGTGTCTGGTTTGCATCCTCTTTACGCGGTGTGGCCCTTGGCATACCAGATCAGAACCAGCATAAGGAAAAGGTCAGACCAGGTCTCGCCGGAGCCAGCGCAATGCACGGGCTCATCAGGACTAGCGCAGCCCTGTCAGCTCTAGCGGAGCTGTAGAGCAGGACCCTCTCCTCTGGAGCCAATGTAGCGGCCAGTCTGATCAGAGCCGGCACAGCGATCTCCCCCACCAGAGCCAGCGGAGCTGTAGCGCAGGAGCCCCCTCCTCTAGAGCCAGTGTAGCGGCCAGTCTGATCAGAGCCGGCACAGCGATCTCCCCCACCAGAGCCAGCGGAGCTGTAGCGCAGGAGCCCCCTCCTCTAGAGCCAGTGTAGCGGCCAGTCTGATCAGAGCCGGCACAGCGATCTCTCCCACCAGAGCCAGCGGAGCTGTAGCGCAGGAGCCCCCTCCTCTAGAGCCAGTGTAGCGGCCAGTCTGATCAGAGCCGGCACAGCGATCCCTCCCACCAGAGCCAGCGGAGCTGTAGCTCAGGAGCCCCCTCCTCTAGAGCCAGTGTAACGGCCAGTCTGATCAGAGCCGGCACAGCGATCTCTCCCACCAGAGCCAGCGGAGCTGTAGCGCAGGAGCCCCCTCCTCTAGAGCCAGTGTAGCGGTCAGTCTGATCAGAGCCGGCACAGCGATCTCCCCCACCAGAGCCAGCGGAGCTGTAGCGCAGGAGCCCCCTCCTCTAGAGCTAGTGTAACGGCCAGTCTGATCAGAGCCGGCACAGCGATGCCTCCCACCAGAACCAGCGGAGTGTATGTAGCTTTTATATAAGGCATCGATTGATGCATTCTCGCCTCATGGCGTGGCATGCATCTTTTTAGGTTGCTTCAACTTATGTAGGCTGTTTTTCTTTTTGATTTAAGCTCCTAACAATTCATGAGTTTTTTAATGGTCTGTTCTAGTCAAGCTTCATGAAAGGGCTTTCGTAAACACCTTGAATCTCTATATTTTGCAAGAGCTGTGCTTAGTGTTTATCGTCAGAAGTGCATTTAAAAGCACAAGGCAGAATGGCCTATACTTGTGCGGGCTTATTCCATTGCCAGGCTAGAAACGTTGCACCCGTTGGCCCCGTAACGTGTGCATGAACGTAATTATATGTAAATACGACATCGAAAGTGATCGCAGTGCTTAATAAATGCACCTACCGACAATCCTATTTCGGTGATGTGTGCAAATCTGTATAACACTTCACTGATTTATTCTTTCTTTCTTTTTGTAGGGTTTTTCCTGTTTTCGTTGCAATAGTTATGTCAGGATTTGATTCCGCATGGTTACACCACTGAACATGGTGGCCAGTGTCACACAGTTGCTTTTCACCATGACGGAAAATTTGGCCGTAGGAGTAAAGCCGAAGAGAGAACTGAAAAATTTAAGCATTTTAAATTTTCAAGGTTTACTGGGGCTACGAATCCGTCTATTAGAGTGAAAACTGGGTGCTGAAAGAAAGAAAAGGTAATGGAAAAGGTTTGTCCAGTCCGTCTGAAGGGGTATCATCAGCTCGGCGGTGCGCTGCTTGTGCAGACATACAAGGCTATAAATAGGGTTTGTCCGATGGATAAATGATGGACATGGCATAAATGTCTTCTAATGGTAAGTGTTGCAGACAAAAGCCTTTACAATGCGATGCTGTCTATTTGTTTAAGTTTTAAATTTCTTCCAAGCTGAGATAGGATATAAATATGACACATAAGGATTAAAAGGAGATATTAATACCTTTGTTTTCCAGGCAACTGAGCCGCCAAGATTACCTTGGAAGCACGTATGTTTGAAGTGCCCTTCTTCCTATGTGAAGAGTCTTGCCCTTTATGTCCTGCCTGCTGAACTAAAGTCTTGCCCTTTATGTCCTGCCTGCTGAACTTAAGTCTTGCCCTTTATGTCCTGCCTGCTGAACTCAATATGAACCAAACATTCTCGGAAATCTTTCCTTTAAATGCTAGTGATGGCTATGAGCAAAGCCATCTGCAAGCATTGGGTGAATTGAATTTCCTCATGGTGATTTCTAGCATTTTAGAAGGAAATTGTGCTACATTAGAAGGTGACCTATTTTCACCATCATTTTTGCTCGTACTTATCAAGTGCTATGCCTGACAGCGTCTAGTTCCCACCCGTTTGCGGTATGACTATGCCTCACGCCGTTAGATATGATGCTTCTCTCATCAGTTTAACTTTAATCTGCGATACCCTCATGATATGTTTTCACTTTATACGTTCTCGGGTCTACTTGTGTTTACACACCTTTCGCCTTTCCATCGGTTCACCTTGCGCTTGCCAAATGCCTCCGACAGACCGATGCAGATTCTCTCTCGAGGGACAAAGATGATTTAAATTGGCAATTGAGGCTGCTGGGAGACGTACCTACGACGTTTTCCAATCTAGTTCAGCAGTCGCACGTATTTTAAAACCTGCGCACTCGTTTTTAAACTGGTTTACCAAATATAAAACAACTGCATTGAAACCCGGAGCCTCACCATTATCTGGCACTGCTCCAAGCACCTATGGTCAAATTTTACCAATTTATTCACTAAGAAAGCACTGACACTTCGATTCACTCATGGTGTGTTACGGAACCAGATGTGTGAATGAAGCAAAATCATATCATACTAGAATGTGTCTACGATCAAAATGTTGATGGTTGATGGCTAATCGTCACAAAAAACACACCAACTCGTGCTGAATTGGTTTTAAATTTGCATGTACTTCGTTTGAACACAGGTTCTTCACGGGAATATCTCTGCGAGTATATGACATTTTAACGCCACCACTGAACTGGAATGCACGCTTGCGAAATTCGATATCTCTACGCTGTTCAACATTGCTGTTTTGCTACATTCGGCTGAGGCAGTGTGAAAGTGAAAGCATTGGTTCTCAGGTGGGTGCGATAACGCCGAATAAGGGGTGGGGAAGAAGGCTGAGTTTTGTTCGCCATTTTAAAAAAGCAAGCGTGTGAGAGACCAGACTTTGTTATTTTAAAAATCGGATGTTCTCGCTGGTGACTTGCCTACGTGACGAGCTCGGTGGTTGCTGCTCGGTGGTTGCTGCTCGGTGGTTGCTGCTCGGTGGTTGCTACTCGGTGGTTGCTACTCGGTGGTTGCTGCTCGGTGCGTTGCTGACCCTGAGCATCCCAACACAAAATCAATGCACGTTTACTTGTCTGTGAGTGACCCTGGGAACACCGACCGATTCGAATCCGCCATGGCATGGGAATCCCGACGGGTCCACTTCTGCCACCCAGTCCCGGTCACAGCGACCACCTAGTGGAAGCGCAGGACATGAGGCGCCGAACCCTTGAGAGTCCTGGCAGCGTGCGCTCAGCATGTGTCACCGGTCGCCCAAAGAGTTGAGTTGGGCACCTCATTTTGTTCGCCGAGCCGGCACGCTCGACGGTGAAGGTTCGTGCCGATCGGCCCATTGATCTGAACACCGAGTGAGATAGGCCGGCACTGACACAATATTTCGACTTCCGACAGCCGGCCCGACAGCCGGCCCAGTAGTGATGCGACGTCAGTCTGTCAGTCAGAACCAGAGATGACCCTTTGTCAGTGATGAAGGCGTTTGGTGATGCGCTATGCGTATTTGACCCTCTGTCACCGGAAGTCATCAGACCCCGGTGACTCACCCCGACGGCTCCTTGTCTGTGTAAACACATCCGCAACGGGGCTGGCAAACTGTGATGCGCATAGCCGGCGGCGGTCCGCAAAATCGTGTCAAGGCTGATAGGCCAGCCCAGAAAATGACGGGCTCAGGTCGGTCTTTCCGATTGCCTGAGCGCGCGGCTGAGTCACAATATGACACAAATCGGTGGAGGACGTGATCGCGCTTGGACGCCTGCGATTGGCCTGGCTGAGATGCAATGACCACAGCCGGCATTACAGGCCGGGAAACACTGATGCACGCCCGTCTCCCGAACCATTGCCGACAAGGTCAAGTTTACAGGAACCGCACGCCTTGCCTAATGGGGCATCCCACGCGATCGTTCTGCGCTCATTATTGTCTTCACCGGACTGCTTTACGCACCGAGTTCTAGCCAGAAACGGAAATGGTATGCTGACAGGATAGGCCTGTGATTGCGAGGCACGCCAGAGGTGCATCAGGCGCAGCGGAGGAGTGGCACGGACATGAGGTCGATGAATTAGATTATGAGCTCAACGTCATGGAAGCATGAGCTATAGCTGTAGAACGTTGAGCCCTACAGAAGGGAACTCGCAGTCGTCTTATTACCTAACAGTTTTTTGTGGATGGGTGCTTTGTACCTTGCTGGACGAATACATGCGGTAGACGCTCGCACTCCAGACGGGGTCTGCACCTGCTCGGCCCGTCCGCACTCGCGTGCGAGGCAGAACTACCCGTCCTTTTTGTGGATGGGCAGGGGAGGAGGGGGAGCGGGGGGCGTACTCCACATGGAAAACTCAATGGTCTTCTTGGCGACTGTCCGTCC